TTCTTCCAACTCAGAAATCCTAGTATCAGCGACAACCTGGACTTTGGCATCACCACCATGCAAATCGTAGAAAACAAGCTTTGATGAAGATTGGCGCTTGCTCATGATCCTTCCTGCCAATGAAATTGTCACATCCTCGTGATATTCTCCATTGTCCAACCCACCATATGTCCCTATGAACTCAGTTATAGTCATTGTAACATCAAACTTGTGAGGGTACGGATTGATTCCAGCAGCCTTCTGTGCATCAGGAATTTCACCCTGTTCTCGTAGTATTGCTGCCGCAAAAACAACGGGAAAGAAAACAGAGAGACTTATAAAATCAAGCTGCCTAGCTATCTAGATATCAATTTGGCTCTGTGCTAAAGCTTTTATATTTCCCATTTCTATCACATCTACCTAGAATTCCTTGAACTACAGGCCCTGACTTCTGTAGTGTTTGCCTTGCTGGTCATTGGATTTTAATTTAGGCACTATTATCTCTTGCATGCGCTCTGTCTTACTAGTTAACCAGAGTTACTTGTTCTTGTATTGTGATGAAATTGCTTCGTGTTCACAGGATCAGGAAGGCAAGGAAGCTACTACTGTAGACGAGACTTTTCTTAAAGCTCTGGAATACGGGCTTCCTCCATCTGCAGGCTGGGGGCTAGGCGTGGACAGACTTGTCATGCTGCTTACGGGCTCAGAGAACATAAAAGAGGTTATCTTGTTCCCTCTCTCAAACAAAAAGCGAAAGAGGGGAGACGAGGTTATCATGTATGAACAGCTAGGAAGGACTCTTAAACAAAGATTGTTTGGTTTTTCAATTCAATCAAATTTTCAAGGCCCTAATATGACCCTAACCAAATTTAAATGACTCACTACTCGAATATGATCCTAATCAAAATTGCTCGAACCAAACTCAATCCAAACGATTAGGTTGTCTCCTCTACAATGTTGAAAATGTATGAATTTCTTCATTATGTTTTTGTTGTTTAAGTATTACTCGGAGTTGAGGATTTAGAGTACTAGTAGTGTACCAAGCATAAAGAACGTTAGTTAGTGAAGTGCAATGAGGCTTAACAAGTTATGCACAACCGCACGAAGGAGATACACGACCGTGTAAGCAGGTCAAGAAGCCAAGGAAATTGCAAAGCAAGTGTAGAAGCATTCTGGATGAGTTGCACCCCCATGAAGGCTTGTCCAAATTGTCTGCAAAGCTATTGTTTAGTTAAGCACAACCATACAAGTCTACGAAACGATGCAACGCTTTTTAAGATACGCTTAGAGTAATGCATTGAGATTGTGTTGATTGATTCAGAAGAACAATCTTAATCATTTGTCATTTCTCTATATCCCAAAATTTATGACATGATACTAATCTATATTTTCATTTTTCTAAAGGGTCGAAACTAAACTTGTTACAAAGCATATATTAGGTTATCCAGTCTCTGTCAACACAATTACTTGTGTTGTGTTGTGTCGTGTTGTCCTTGCATCACTTGGAGCCTTGGAAAGTTGGAAGGTGGAGTTGTCATATTACTTGCGACCCTGTCATCACAATTCACAAACTTTGTCTAAAATTTTATGCTATGTTCTAACAATTACTCCACCAACCCAACACCTTATATAAATCCCAAATTAAAAAATGGTTAGATGCAACACATGCAAGCATAGCTTCACACTTGCGTCATAGTGGATACATCCAAAAGATTAACTTTAATTAGTACGTTAATCCCATTATTAATTAATTAAGCGATGATCCTCATAATTTTTGTAAGGATCAGACCAATTGAAGAGATTAATGTATCGAGATAGAAAATTCAGCTCAAAGTGCAATTTTGTTTATTGCAGTAATGGTAATGCATGAAGAGATTTAGTGGTGGTTAATGACAAAAACACACTTTTGGGAGAGGAAGTCAGAACGTGCATACATACAAGTGCTCCTTAAAATATTTTCATCTTTGGAGCTAAGCCAGATGAAGACTCCCCAGTTGAAACTATAGTAGATACAAGATTTCGGAAACAAGCTCAAATTATACTATACAAAGCGTCATTTATTTTTGGAGTACTTTCAGGTGATGACGGTTTCCCCGGCCCAATGCTATGGCATAGCACCACATGGGCGATCTGCACTCGTCTCGTGACAGCATGCACCTTATATACCCGGCACGTGTGATGTATATACTTGAAAAATATGACTTTTTTTTTTTTTTGGACATAAGCTTGTTAGAGTTTTTTTACTGCATATCAAATTGAAGAAAACATGGCACCATCTTTCTCTAGGTACAACTTGATCTTAAGTGTTTTGAACTATATCGAAGCAAATTACTCTCTAAATCTTTGTGGTCGTTTAATTGGACATATAAATTTACATAATTACACTTCTCAAAACATTAAAATTCTCAATGATTTATTTGGTCGACGTAAAGTTGCCTAGAGGAGACCAGGTAAGGTTGTAAGTTACTTTCTCTTATATTAATCAAACAATTAAAAGTTCGTTTTCTACAAAGTACTAGTAAATAATAATTTCAAGATTCTCACAAGTATGTTACTAATTTATAGTCTAATTATTCATAAATTACAAAACATAATTTGATTCCATTTGTAAATTTAAGTTTGCTCATGAGTTTCTAGAGCCTATAGCTTTGCTCGTTTAAGTCTTTATTCAAGCTCACACTCAGACCAATCAAGCTTTAACCAAGATGAGGTTAATGTGGCTCAAGACCACGCTAGACGAGTAGAGTCAGTAGACTAATTAACTTTGCTATCGATATACAAAAACTTTATTACAACATACCTATAAAGCAGAATTTTTTCAGGGACTGTACTAGTACAACAATTACTGGTAGTCAACAGAAGAATGAAATCTAAGCATAGACTTCACTTCAATACACCATATTCATTATCAACCATCCATTGAGTTCACTATAACAAAACCCAAACCTCTCTATCATCACTCCTACTATTGGCAAATATTGAGGATGTCAATGTTCATATATACTCAAATTTTCTCTATAACTAGTTGAGACTAATACAGGGTATGTTTTCTAAAGACAGGTACCAAAAAATACATAAATAAAAAGTTACCCTTCATATATAGGGTGCGTTCTCTTCACCTGAAAACCCCTGAACTTATCTTATCTGAACTTATATGAACTGATTGGACCTGATTAAAAATTATTGGACCTGATTAAACCTGATTGAAACTTATTAGACCTGATTGCAAGAGAGTAAACTTGAGTAAATAAACTTATTGGACCTGATTAGAACTTATCAGAACTTATCTGAACTTATTAGACCTGAAACTTATTTTTTTAAGGTGAAGAAAACACACCCATAATATGAAATTCGTTCAAGAATGAACAAAAAACAAAACGCAAAACTAATGGGACATTACCGCACATCCAAATTAGTTCAAGACGTATGAGTGAAATACACGCAATAAAAGCGCACATATTTACCTTGATTCTTTCTGTGCTTCAATTCACTCTTCTTTTCTACACTACATACTGACGTCTGAGCATGTTAGACGTTAGAAACCAAAACCTGTGACCGAAAATGCGTGTTTCAGTTCTTCAAAGTAGTACTTGATAGGAAGAATAAACTCTATACCATACTGCTCGATCATCCGGCCTTAGCCTTAAACCACACAATCTTTTTGCAGACTTCTTCTCGTGATTGTAGGCGATGACTTCACCAGGAATTGAGAGCGCGACTTCTAAATCTTCATCATCATGACCCTGTACAACAGACAACACATCACACTCATAGCGCGAGAAGAAAGGATGAGGGTTGTTAGTTCTACGAGCCATAATATGAAAATCTATCGCTAAAGCCTTCAAATCAATCATACTCCTCAGAAACCACCCGCTATAGTCTTCCTTCATCTCAAAGAGCTCCAGAAAAGACAACTCCGGTGATGCAACTACATAGTGAAGATGACCTTGAGACTCCCCAAAGTACTCACTGCTAACCAAGGAATACCCTTCCTTCAGTGGAGGCTTAGGCATTTCTGTTAGAACCTCTTCCTCTACGTTGAAGTACAGACCTATTATTGTACTTCTCATCCAATGAACTGTTACAAAACACCCCATCACTAAAATCTATGTCACCGGATGCAACAAAAGGCTTACCTGAGACGGCCCAAGTTCTAGTTTTACAGGAGTAGATAGATCTCTGATGAAGTGGCTTTTGCAGTTCTAATTTTTGCACACAAATAATCTTGTAATAAGGTGAAGTGTAAGGGTCGAAAGCTATATTAAGTGCAAAATGGTTTGTCGTAGAAACAAAACTACGAAGTACCTCTGGGTGTTGAGTTGCCAGATTACAGATATAGTATTTTTGGGATGACTGAGAAAAACAAAGGAGCAAACCACTGCAAGATTGTAAAATCTGAAGATTTAGGCTGTCGAGAAATGAAATATCTGGAATCTTGGTCTGGCTTTGTATGAGGGAGACATACTCAATTTGAGGTCTTTGTGCTGTATATGTTTCGGAATCAACACAAGGACAGATACAGGAGGGTCTAGGGAGTAGTACCGAAGAAAATCATGGTCGGACATGGGAGGACACAAGGGCTCGGTCAAATGATACTCAAAATCTGGAAGCCATATATCAGTTAAGGAGAAGTAGAACCCAGCAGCTAACTCTTCATCCCCATCAATGAACTCAGCTGGTAAATCCTCAACATCAATGTTGCTCTCAGCTGACAAGTACTCATCATCACCAATTAAGGTCAATGGATCAAGATTGGAGTTTCTGAACATCCCTATTTCCATTGCCCCTAGTGATTCAGTTGATATGTTATCACAAAATGAGTCCAATTCAATGCACTATCATATCCTAGTAAGAAATTCGATTTTGTCGAAGATATACTACGTGGAGTCCTCTATTCTTTTAACATGTCTGTTTCATTTCTGCTTCCAATTTTTTTTTTAAATAAAACAAAAATATATTAAAAAAAAAACAAACAAAAACAAAATATTTCAAAAGTCAACATGACATCCAGGCAACAAACATCAAGGAAAGAGCAACTCTTCCCAATATACCAGGTCAAATAGCTGTTTTTTAAGAAAAGATATTGAGATAGAGATTTTAACATGACGATCACATCTGCCAAGACAAAAAGACACTAAAAAAGTGAATAACAGAAAAACTAAAAATGCACTGCAATGACTGTAAATCTATCGATGAGCGAATGCTGCAATAAGCAGCTGTCATGCTTGGAAGGAGTCAAGCTTAAGGAAGTTACTCAACTTTGTTAGAAAACAACAGATAATTGGACGGATCAGAAAGATAATCAAGATATAAATTAAATGTGCATACCTCTCCTTTTGTCTTCTCTTGTCAGATCCTAAAGTGAAATGTGTAACAAATGGTTAATCACTTCACAGCTTAAAATAAACAGTAAAATACAGTATTCAATTTTCAGACATCATACAGTGTGACTTTACCTCTCCAATATTCCACAAGAGAGAGAGCATATGCTGGGGCAGAACTCTTAATCTTTTTAAGAATAAACATATAGTTGTAGGAAATCAGGGAAGAAAGACGGACGGAATTTATAAGGAAAAGAAGATGTAATATTACATACGAAGTATATACAAAAAAAATTCTACGATAACAAAGAAAGAGATGAAATTATGCAGAAAAGCAGAATGAATGGGGGGAGGAGGCACCAAAGATAGGCATGAGGTCGTATATGTTCTATGATGTTAGTGAAGTCAGCTGTTTGGGACCAGATTGGTAGCGGTTGTTGCTTCATATGTGTTCTATGGTATGTTGAACTACTGCATCAAGATTTAACCGCCAGCATGTAGAGATATCTTTATCGAGATAAGGCCAGCAATGATTATGTTAGTTCATCAACACAGATTACAGAAGCCAAATATTCAGAAGAAATAGCATCATGAATACGAATTCAGCTTCAGAACGGTCTATTCTAGAAACAAAATGATACATAAAAATATAGACAAAAGAAAAGGACAAAGAAAATGGAATCATATAAAGATCTAGAAAACTGACTTCACAAAGGAGAAACACAAAAAAAAAAATTTGACATAGTCTGCATCAAATAACAGATAACGTCTCAAAATATTCATAGACTGAATAGTTTTGTACCATATGGTTACATCACAGGGGCGAAAAACTTGATCTTGGACTATTAAGAGATTTTTCTTCCCGAGATTGAAGAATATGACTTCCCCTGGCACTGACAGCATAATTTCCATATCTTCATTGCTCCCAGCATGATTAATGCACAGCACGTCACATTCCAACTCTGAGAACAAATAAGGATGACGCCCAAAGTTCCTAGCCATAGCTAGAAATTTAGCAATTAACACATTGAGATTGACCCGAAACTTCAAGTCCCATCCAAAATAATCTTCCTTCATCTGGTATAACTCATAATGGTTAAAAAGAGGACGTGAAATAACATAAAGCAAGTAGCCTTGGGATTTTCCAAAATACTTGAATTTGTATTGTGACTCCTTCTCTCGCCTGGGAGGCAGTGGCATTTCTCTTAGTATCTCTGTCTTCAAGTCAAGATATGCTCTGGTAGATTTGCTCGCCAGCCAATGAATTGCACCATTGCAGAAGACACCGTCCTTAAAGTCTAACTCATTAGGTACAAAAACAGGCTCTTGAGAGAGACTCCATAGACGATTTTTGGATGAATAGATTGCAATTTGGTAATGTGACGGCTGACTATCTAGCTTTTGCACACAAACAACCTTATATTCAGGTGAAGTGAGAGGATCAAAAGCCAAGTCAAGTGTGTATTCTTTTTCCATGAATGCACAGCTAGGAAGGACTCTTAATTGACATGTTAAGGGATTGCATACATAATGTGACAGCCCCATTCGACAGAGCAATAGTCCATTACAAGAGTGTAGAATATGGAAACCTTTGGAATTAAGAAAGGCAACAAATAAAAGACTATAAAATTTGCTCCGGTTAAGAGAGAGAAAATGAACTTCAGGACGTTGAGCGGTTTGTCTAGGGATCAAGAACAGCCCAGATAAGGAGGGGGGATATAGGAGTAGTGCCTCAAAACAAATGTTCGATTTGAAATGAAAGAGAGCCACAACTTTGATACCCGTAGACATGGAGCAAGAGAAATTGCAGACAGACGATTAAAAATCTCTGTTGCTAAGTCATCATTTTCTGCAACTTTTTCAGCAGATGTTGGTTCAAACTCAGGTTCAGTAAGTGGCTCCTCCATCTTGCAGGGAATTTGGAATCTGTGGAATTTATCAAGTTTCATACAAAGAACTCCCAGAGCACCTTCAATATTAAACCAATAAGCCGTGGCTTTTCTACTTAAGATGATGACACTATGGAACAGGAAGAAGTCATATTCTATATATCTCAATGAGAGTACTAGGCTCTCTTCTTTACTTTAAAATGTAGTCAATACATCAGCCAAGAACAATTCTTTCTTTCTAAACTTGGGTTGCTTTGCTATCCTTCTACAACAATGACGTTCGAACTTACTGCCAAATAACATTTTATGACAATGTCCTCTGTTTAATTACTAATAACATTTCTCCAAACTTACCACTTCTTCATGAAATAGCCAAAGGATCTCTCTTTTTCATAGAACAGTCAAAATGTTCAAGTTGCAAAAGATTTTGTACAGTATTGTTGCCAAGAATGGCCATGTCAAACAAAGAGAACGGCTCAAACTATTGTAGGCTGAATAGATTTATATCAAATGGAAGTATGCGTCTATTGACATGACTTTAGTAGTTCTCACCTCTGCCGCTAAAATTTAAGCCAAGGGTGCAAAGGCATCTGTACTATGTGTGCGAGCACTCAGGTAGCGCCAGTCCCAAGCCCAAGCTTGATGTAGTCAAGACTAAAAGATAATATGAGATACTTGACAATTTCTTCTCTATGCTAAAAGATTCTATAGAAAGCTGGTCCCAAACAAAATGAAAGTAGATGGTAGTTAACAATTTAAAGCTCAACATGAAGAATAGAACATTGTTTGACCTATTCCAAGGACAAAGCTACCGTTTTGAACTAGGGGTCCCAACTGAGAGAGAAATACTGAATTGGCTAACTATCTAGGAAGACTTCATATTCTCCATCTTCTCAGTATTTCCTAAATCATTTTGCCCGAATGAATTAGTTGGTACTAGAAATGTTAGAAAAGAAGCGGATAGCAACTGCTTTGCTGACAAAGCAAAATGAAACTTCCATTTTGCCAATACCATGTGGAGTGATTAGCTGATGAGACAACAGTAATGACAAAGGAAGGCAAAAGCTTCTTCAAAAAAATCCAATGAAAAAAATGGTAGTTTAATGATCTATGCTAGAAAAATACCCAATATGCAGCAGAAGAGGTCAAGACATTAGCTTTTTCTAAAAGGCCCACGATGAACCTGGAGAGTCTACAGCAGAAAGAGTGCAACTGTGCAAGCTTAGAGGTGTCCTTCCTTTCACAAGAAGAATGATGTGAAGTAAAATATACTTGTATACTTGACACATAGAAAAACATATGACAATAGCAAATCAATATGCCCAAGCAAAAACAGATGACTTCATTTCCTTGTGTCCAATGAAGATGGCAACTGTGGCGGTATGTAGAAGCTGGAAAGAGAGAGAAGCAAACCGCATCTCTAAGAGCATCCCAAGAATGACGAGGAAGCAACTATTTATACACTCATAAGCATATTAAGAATGCTTATTGATCTTTAAATAGAGTTGACATCCAATCACTTGCAAACCATCTTCAGGATATCTAACACTATACATAAAGCTCTAGGGCAAATCAAACCACCCAACTAAAGATTTTGGAAAGACGATAATCAAGAGTAGCTACTATCTTCTATTTAGCTAAATTTCATTTGTAGTCAAGGGAATTTCACATGACTGACATGATAAGTGCCATTGTCATTTTTAATCCGGGTAGAGAGACTACATCAGCAAGAACATTGCAAGTAGTGGATTCCATTGCCATAGCTAACTAGCTTAGTTGGTAAAGTCTTGAGGGTGGTACTCAGGATCTACATTTAATCATTACCCTTTGTGGCTCTATATACATCAAAAACTATTGTTACTTGTAAGTTCAAGCTCAGCCCCTTGAAACAAGTCTATGGCTCTATGCAATTCTCCTAAAATAGCATTAGACCCAAAAAAATTCATTAAGGGGACCAAAACTCTCCATTATTTTCATATATGGACATACGAAAAGCCCTAATAATGCTACAACCACATCAACATTGAAGCATTGATAGGAATGTGACAAGCATTAAAGGTTAGTGAGCTACTCCTCCTAATGACTATAGCCATGTGATTTTAGGATGGAACCTCACTCGACTGGCGTGCTGCTATCCTCACCTCCTAACCCAACCAATGCATATCCACATAAAGCAGGCAATCTTACTTTATATCCAACTAAAACCAAATGTGAATTTGGGTCAACCAAAATTAGGCTGACCAATGAAAATTAAACTGTATATCAAACTCTTCCATGTACCCAGATTTCCAATCACCCTTATTTTCAGTTGTGAGATAGAGGGCATGGAAGAGAAAAATCAAAACTTCCCTCTTTTTTTCTGGATATTGGTGGAAAACAAAAACCCATTACATAAATTTTAAATTCTCTCTCTTTCCCAATTATCTTTTCTTACCCTTCCAATATTCGAAAGAACAATTAAGGTTTAGGGATTACGGGGGTTAATTACTAATTAGAATTCATAATCAACTAATAATGCAGTATACTAGACAAATCGTTGATCAACAAGTGACAAAAATAGTAAAAATTAAGCTTTTTTTCTCGTGCTATAGAATGAGATTAGGAATTAATATGGTATAAGAACAACTGAACAAGTGCTGCAAATATATATAGAATGCATGTAATTAAGTAATTCAGGACATACGAAGGATGAAAGGTAGCAAAAGAAGCTTGATTATGATTTGGGTAAGCCTTGAGGTCTTCCGTATAGCTCTCTGTTGTCGGTATTATTCTGTCGTCTGCAACACTACACTTTTGAAGAGCCATGTCTGATTTTGGCTTCGATTGTTTGCTTGGGAGTTTGTAGGAACTACGAAGTAGGACCATCACAGAATTCACAACAATTAACACCATGTTCAAAGTTGTTTTTGGTGTAGAGATGGATGTGGGATGTGTTGAGTCTCGCCTCGTGCCAAGCTAGCGTGTTTTTGGAGCTGATTAAGTCAGGTCCAAGACCTAACCGACTAGCTACGTGTTGAGTCGTACCGAAATGTTTAAAAGGGTAATTTAGACACGGTCCAAGTTAATGTTCTACCGTGTCGTATCGTCTTGTGCTTGTGTGCCTATGTCCAATTTGACTTATTTTAATGTGTTTGTCATGTCGGGTAAAATGTAGCACATGGCCTGACACATATAGTTGTGTCGTGCCATGTCTATCTCGTGCCATATCATGCTTTTTTCGTGTTGGATCGTGTTGTTCTGTGTCACGGGTCGGCCCAACTAGTGTCATCTTTATGCGAATAAGATAGATGTAGATATGATTTGATCTCAAATGTTGGGTGTTTGACCGACTAAGCTAACTGGCAAATTTAACATCCACAAATAACATTTTCTAAGTGGTTATGAACTTATGATGGTATAATTCACAAGTAACAATCTCTTTTTCATTCCCTTTTGTCCCTCTTCGATTAATGAAAGAAATATCATAATCGTTATGAAGTCGACAACCCTTATAACATGTTGTATCAACTATCAAGGACGTTATAAATTATTATAAACACTTGAGTAACCTAAACTTACCTATCATTGCTCCAACCCAAAGTAGGGGCAAATATCTCATTCTGACGAACAACTAATATCCCCTCCCTCAAAACAAAGGTAGATAACGTTCCATGATAGTTTGAAAAGGTGAAATAAGGATGGGAAAATCAGCAATTCATCAAGAAGTTTTTATTTTATACATTGCTTTTATTAGCAAGTTCACACAATAAAAGACAAGTGCATTACAATTTCACTTCAATAAGCCAAACTAGGGGCATTCCCGAAAGAAAAAAAAAAGGCCAAATTTTCCACCAAAGAAACCAAATGTTTAGGCATTTCCCTCTAAAAAGAGAAAACAAAAGAAAAGGTTGATAACTTAAGCATAACTCTCAGAGGATGGAACAGGGGCCTTATTTTCAATTTTCTGAAAAAATGAAAAATATGCACATTATGTTCAAAAAATATGCGCATCGTATTTGAGTCAAAAAAGTTACACATGTAGTTCAAAAAATATGTACTTTAAGTTCAAAAAATATGTATGTACAATTCTTCTCATCTTCTCATTTGACTCTAAATTTATATCAACTTTTTATGATTTTTGCTAATATCAACTAATAGATGAAGTATCTTAAATCGCCATTAAATGATACTCAATACGGAGTATTACGAGCTTAATGTTGTAGGCTTGTAGCCTATAAATGTTGTATGTATATGAACAATAATGTAAAATCCGATTAGTGAAAAAAATTAGGTGTATTCTAGTAACATAATTCTCAGTATACTGTCCACGTACGATCGGTTCTCCTAAAACTTTAATTTACAAAAATCTTGTTATACTATAAGTTACTTATAAGGTAAGTAGGAAGAAAAAAGAGAGAAAAAGAAGGTTACCATGCCATTGGAGGTAAATTGGAGGAGGAGGCAAGCAACAATAGACTATAGAGCCAAGGACTTGGGCAACCCAGTAGAAGAAGCCAGTAAGGAGGGTGATGTGACCACCAATAGCCAATCCCAAAGGTCGCAGATGGGTTCAAATGTCCACCTGAAATGTTGGCTGCTATGGCAACA